CTTGCTTCGATCAAACCCGTCTATATAATTATTTGAATAATTGATAATAATAAAACGTTGATAAATTTACTTTACAAACAGCTTCATAGATCACGACTTACTTCGATCAAACCCGCCTATACAATTATTGAATAATTGATAAACATTCGTTTTGTAAACTTCATAGATCTTGACTTTGACGCTTGCTTCGATCAAACCCGCCTATATAATTATTTGAATAATTGATAATAATAAAACGTTGATAAATTTATTTTACAAACAGCTTCGTAGATCTCGACTACTTTAATACTTACTTCGATCAAACCCGCCTATATAATTATTGAATAATTGAAGTGGGTATAACATAATTATGTTATACCCACTTGGTCTAGGTTATACAATTAGGTTATACCCACTTTGAAGTACGACAAGTTCGCGGATGCGTCGTACCTGGAAGAACGATTGGTTTGCATTTGCGTCGTACTTTTCGTAGGTTATGGCATTGTTATTACGCAGGTTATGCCGTCCGACATGCGCCTTGGGTTATGGTTGATTTGAGTTTGATTCGTAATTTCAACCACTTGTCTGGCTTTTTTATTTTTTCCCATATTTTTAAACCACTGCGCCGACTTCGATTCCCGCTTTGGGTCCCGATTTGTATTACGATTGGTTTATGAATTCGTCGTTATTTTTGGGCCCCGCTTTGGGTTACGATTGGTTTATGGATTCGTCGTAATTTTTAGTGATCGTTATGGACGTCCATAACGATGGACTTTTGGTGACGCTATTGACCACATTTGGCTTCCGATTATTACCACTACATGTTAAGCACATCCCGGCCACACTCGAAGGTGGTCTGGTTTGAAAAATTGGCCACGTTTGTGCCAGCATTTGGATGAAAAAAATATATGCCCGGTATTGATTGCGGGTTGATGGATGGAGTATATATTTTAGTAGGCGTCTAATTTCTGCATTTTCAGACTCCGCTATGTAACATTTGGGGCCATCGTCAACATGTGTGGATGGTCACCTATAAGTACCACTCTTGGAAAGGTGTTAGTGGCGTTTTTTTCTTGTCATTGAAAAATCTTTGGTGACATATCATCTTTGATGACATCTTTGGTGACACATTCTCTATCGGAATTCTAAGTTTTAAGTTGTTTTATTATCTTCTTTATATCTGTCACCAAAGTCACTAAAAATAAAGAAGATATTATAGGAAAAAAAAAACGAAACTCTTTTCTATGGTATATGATATACCTAATAAAAAAATAAAAATAAAAAAAATGAAAGCGACAAAAAATTTTTGAATAAAAAAAAATAAAAATAAAAAGCTGGAAGTGCCGAAAATTTTTTAGTGACTTTGGTGACTTTGGTGACACTAGTCGAGAACAGTTTCTTTCGTTCTCAAAGTTCCAATAAGTATAATATAAGTGTCACTAAAAATTTTGTAAATCCGTCACCAAAGATCTTTGGTGACATTTTCTAGGACGGATTCTCTTTTATTTCAAATTCATTCTGAGCCAGTTTTGTTAGCTTTTTCCGGTGATAATGATCTCTGACTCGATACTTCCCAGAATGATCTGTACAAAAACCATAATCAGAATAAGTTCTTTCGCCACATTCTGAGCAAGGTAGATATGCAGGGGAATTCCTATGAACTTTACATCCCTTTGGATGATAACATCCCCGGTTACATTCCCCACCAGTTCTAAGAATATAAGGACAACGATAAAACGCCATACCTAAAAATTTTATAATACGATTTTTTAGCGGATCTAGTTTTACTATTAATGTGTATATTTTATGTCTAACACTAATAATTCTAAATAAATAATTTTAATTTGAACTTTATTATAACATATATTATACTTTCAAATTAATATAAGTTATACTTTCGAAATAATAAAAGTACACTCAACATGAACACAGAAACACAAAACAACGGCACAGAAAACCCAGAAAACGAAACCAACGGCACCTTCTACCACCATGGGCACAATGCCGAGAGCGTAGCTGAATATAACTATAAAATTCGTGATGATAGTGTAAGTCCAAGGGAATTCCTAGGAATGGATAATGAAGATGGAATTGAAACTATACTCGCAGATTGCAATGGACATTCATTACATGAGTATATTGATGGTGATGACCCGCTTCATCCATTTATTGATTTTGATTTGCCTTGAGAGACATTTAATAAAATTGAACCCAAACTTGCATGTAAAGAGATACGAACTTTACTCTGCCGTTCCTTTAAAGAAGTTTGCCTAGAGATATATCCAGATTGGGATAAAACTACTTTGGCAATAGCCAGTAGTACTGATGAGAAAAAAATGTCGCTCCATATATCAACTTTTGGCCTCCGACTTAAAAATATTGCTAAAGTCGCAGTGTTTACTGAGCTTGTCCGCAAAAAACTCCCAGTTAATTTACAAAGCAAAGATATTGTTGATAATATTGCAAATAAAAAATCATTTTCTTTACGGATTCTTGGAATGCCAAAGTTTGATAAAGAAACCGGAAAACACGTACGTGTAAAAAAACCATCATGTCCAAAGGATGGAGATGTTTTTAAATTTATGCTTCGTCCACCACATGATGAATCGCCAGTTGTAGATGGTCTTATCCTAGATGTTCCGGAAATAGATGTATGGAAAAATGGTAAAAGCGAACCTGGAACATTTAGATCCGAAGTAGAATATATTGAGAGATTACTTAAACTAGTAAAAATCGAAGGATTTGATGTTCTATATCCACCACCTGTATCTCCAAATATTTTTACTTTAACACGTATATCCACTTCACATTGTCCGCTGTGTAATCGAGAGCATAGTGGTGAAAATGCATATGTGGTTCGAAATAAAAAGACTTATCGCTATTATTGCCATCGTGCGGACCAAGAAACTCCTTCAGGTACAAAAAAGCCATCATTAAAACTTGAGATTAATGAAACAGTTGAAAATCAGGAAAAAAAACTTTCAATACCAGAAAAATTAATAATACCCAGAATTTCAGATCCAAATGATCACTTTGTATGGGGAGATCTAATAGATATGTGTACATCTGGAGAAAAATATACTCGTAATCAAGTTTACGAAGCTATTCAAGCAACGGTTGCATTTATTGATAAAGGTAATCTGTTATGGGTTTTTAAAGTGGAGGATGATGAAGGAGGAATTACCTTTGAAATGGTCCCCAAATTAAAACTTGTTAATTACGAAATAAAACTAGTTGAACTTGGAGGAGAAACAATAAAGTTAAAATCATTGATAAATCAAGCAGAAATTAAAGGTTTGATTACTTATCGTCGCATTGTATATCTTCCATATTCACCAAATAAATCTCCGCCAATTACTAAATTCCTTAATCTTTTCCCGGGATTTAAAGCCCAACCAGCAACAGAAATCAATCCTTGGATTATGGAAGCCCTTATTTGGCACGTAAAATATGTAATTTGTGATGAAAATGATAAACTTAATGAATATATTTGGAATTGGTGGTCATTTTTGGTGCAATTTCCGCTAGAAAAACCTAAAACAATTTTGGTTTTAAAATCTATTTTACAACATTGTGGAAAAAATATTATAATTGATTTTATTGGCGAAAAAGTTTTGGGTTCAGCACTATACTATGCTACATCCGATTTAGGAAAAGTTCTTGGAAAATTCAATAGTGTTATAAAAGGCCGAAAACTTGTCGTTATGAATGAGACGGGGATGGCTAGTGGAGAATGGCATAAATTTAACGATCATCTTAAAGCACTCATATCAGAAAATAAGGTAAGTATAGAACACAAGGGTGTCGATTCTGTGGATCTTAAAGATTATACCGCATTTATGGTTACCAGTAATCATGATACCCCACTAAAAGTAGATATAGGCGATGGGTGTATAGTTTGCTTCGATGTATCTTCACGATGTAGAGGTAATAGAGCATACTTTAAGAATTTAGGAAAGGTTTTTAATCATCCTGATGCACCAGGAGTAGTTATGAGATATCTTTTAAATCGTGATTTATCTAATTGGGATCCAGAAGATATCCCCGTTACTAAAATGAAAACAGAAACAATACGGGATCAATTACCAAACTCCATTCGATTCATAATTGAGCATATTTCATCCTGGGTTGAAAATCAGACAGAAAAAACAATCTGTGCAAATCTATATCAAAATTATCTTACTTGGTGCGGTAGTAATGGTGAAAATTCGTTTACTAGTAAAAAATTTGGAAAAACTCTTCCAGTAATTGGTATAGAACGAAAACAAGTACGAATAAATGGAAAAAGAGAATGGATATACATCCTAGACCGATTCAAAATAGTAGCTAAGTTACATGAATCAATTGGCGATATCGAGGAATTTTCAGATTCACCTCAAGCCGAAATATCCACTAACACTACCACAGATATACCTATATTCGACGCACCCAAAATTGCAACACCAGCTCCACCCATTACTAACATGACCCAAGACCTCTTCGATTCTATAAAAAATGAAAGTTCAGTTGCTTTATCATCCAAGTCTACCGATATATCTCCGTCTCCTGAGATCATGAATGTAGTAGAACCTGTGGACGATAAATTCGAACCTTCTTCTGAAATCATCGAATCAATGAATGATAATCTCGATTTATCAAAGGATAGTGTACCCGAACCATCTCCTAGCTTACATGTAAATGAATCTGAATCAAATAACGAAGTAATCCCCCAGCAGATATCATATCCACCCGGATATCAAACCAGGGAGCAACGAGAAAAACGTCTAAGACAATGGGCGACCGATCATAATGAAGATCCGGATAAGTTTATGACTATAACTGAGGAAGATATTAATTTATCAAGAACATACTGAGATAGAATGATGGCAGATACAGATATGATCCAATTCGCAAAAGATAACGATGATGATCCAAATTCATTAATGGATATGACTAGAAGAGAAAGATTAATAAGTGAGGAAATTATGATCCAATTGCATGAGGATAAGGGTAACCCCCAACCAAGGAGTTATAACGATGATGAATGGATAGAAAAAATATCGATACTTCAAGAAAATGAATACCTATGGTAAATTGCAAATTATCACTAATGTATATTAATATAATAGAAGTAAATTTTATTGATAGAAACCTGGTAAAGGGGGATTTTTTCGCCTCTACATACACAATATATAAAAATTCAGATTGAAAAATATTACCAGAGATGGCTAAACTTTGGCAGTTAGATATCTGATGTCTCTCTGGAATTAAGTCCTTAAAAATACAAACCAAATGCCCTATATGATGCATTTACCAAATCGAACGTTCTAAGCGCGGAACATTTTCTCGCATTGATGCGGGCTCTACATTAAAAATACTAAAATTAAATTGTGTTATCTATAGCCTCGGATCCTACCCCAAAGCTATATTTTTTTTCATTATCATATATATTAGGAGAATTTAAATGTCTTTTTTTACCGTCTCTTACCAATATAAATTAACGAACAAAATGTAAAAATATCCATTAATTATTTTTTCGAATTGAAAGAATATTTTACATAGAGTATAACCTAAAAATTCATAACCTACTTGAGATATTTTAACAATTAAGCATGTCAGCTATTACAACGTTACTCATTAAAAATCACGATCTAACCACAAAAATGAATGAATCAGAACTTAGTAAATATACCCCCGAATTTCTTAAAAATCTTACAGATGATAGAAAGAGAGACCAGGGGCGAAGACGTCTTCGGGACAGATATGGATTCAATGATAAGCAAATATCTATATTAATTCCAGCCCAAAAAGGTGGACGACCTAAAGATGTAAATCTCGCAACTATAAATCCACATAGCCCAGAAGAAACTATTAGAGAATTAGCTCAATGAATTGTACGTGATAAGCTTAGTGAAAAGGACACAAACGCCGAATGTGTAAAATTAGTTAAAACCGCAATGAATGAAAATGCAGGATCTTCTAGGTTGTCGCGTCTTAGAAGAGAGTTGCGAATTCTTGGTGCATCTACTGCAATAATTGAAGCAACAAAGATACCTGAAATCACAAGAAAAGCTAATGAGATTCAAAAAGAACAAAGACAGAAAGCGGAAGATGCTGGAAATATTGAATATCCAGACCATTTTTTGATAGAATCCGTTAAAGAAAGATTGGGTTCATATGATATTAAAACTTTACCAGATATACAAGCTCTCGCCGATGTAATGATAATGCTTTGTATCCGCCCTGCTGAACTTATAACTTTACGCATTGCTGATACAGGAGTAACTGGGTATGCTAAAAATCGTGACCAGCAAGATATTCCTTGAATATTTAGATCAATGGAAAAAAACGAAAAACGAGCCAAAGAATTGCTCGCCTGGATACAAAATGCCATAAGTTCTGGTAAAATAAAAAACCCCAGAAAGCCTGGAGTTAAAGATCTAAATAAATTCTTGAAATGCTATGGGTTACTTCCCCGATATTTACGTAAAATTGGAGCAGTATATGCAGTCGTCTCACATGATGCTAGAAGCTTAGGGCAAGCTATGACAATCGCCCAACAAGCATTACGGCATAGTCCCTGCAATAATGAATCTCCAGTACGAAATTATATTATAGTTAAATTCCGAAGGAGGGGTGAGCCACCTGAAGAAGCAAGGTTATTCCGAATCTATGATGAAAAATAATTATGCTTTTCCACTTTCACACAATAAATTTATATGTACATTTTTTTTTCAGATTCCGTTTCAGATTCCGTTTCAGACTCCGTTTCAGACGAACTAGAAGTGAACCCTACGTCGACACTTTCATTACTTTTCCTACTGTTGCTAATATAACGTTTTCTACACGGAGAACTACTCGTATTAACAGTTTTAATAATATCTTGCTGGATCTCGGGTTTTACTATTTTCAATAATTTGGAAAAACTTATATTAATTTTTTTATTTAGTATATGTCTACATATTCTGGAAATCGTTCTATCAGTATTTTTGGATGAACTTTTATCTATTTTAAAACCCATCTTTTTTGCTTTTTCATAGGAGATAATTGGACATTGTGAGTCCGAATCAACCAGAATACCATTATTATTCCTCGACTTTGATTTAATCTCTTCTGCGATTTTTGTTTCTAATTCGGTTTTAGCTTCCGCTATCGTTTTCAGTTTATTTAGTAATTCTTGTTGAATCGATTCAGTATTACTATTATTTTCAACCATTGGAATTAAAATTATATTATGTATTAGAGATACTAGTACCGTTATTAATATATAGATAAAAAAATCCAGATTAAAAATATTAGTAAAAAAAAGCTATAAAACAACTTAACCCAAATATCCATATCGATAATTTCAATCTTATAAAATCGGTAAAGTACCAGTTAAAACTATGCCTAATTTACTTAATCTTCTTCCATCAGAATTAATACCATTTATAATGAAGCATCTTCCAATTCAGATCTAGTAAAAGAATTCTATACAAAAATATTAAAACTCGGTTAAAAATATGAGTCAGAGACTCTATACTCCGCATATTAATTTTGTTTCTGGAGGTAGATTAGCTAACTTATTCTAGACATGAGCACTGATTAGTGCTAGCTGATTTTTTAATGAAAACTTCATGTAATTGCTCAGGAGAAACATTCGGAAATAATGGTAGTCCCTTGCCAGTAAACCAAAATTTCTTTACCCCCATATCAGCAAATTTCTTTATTAGGATACCTAGATCATCTTCTAAGGGGCCGTGGAATTTCTCAAACCTTTGGAGGTACACTCTTGCATTTTTATCAGCTTCTTCTGCTATTTCTTGATTAGTATGACCAACAATACCAAGTTCTTCCTGAATTGTGTTTATATCCTCTTCCAAGTATAAAAGCAAACTAAATAATTTCGAAAGTGATAAATCGGAAGAGCCCCTATTGTTTTGATTTGCCACATTATTATATTCCACTGCCAGAATGGGGTTGCCACCAATGTCGAGATTTTTCTGTATCAGTATTAAATCCCCCGCCAAATGTAATAACAACTTATATGAATCAACAAGTGTTTTTCCTTTGGGCTCGTGCTCTGTTTTGATTTGGTGCATTGTTGCATTATTTGCATTGTCATTAATACTGAGTTTTTCTTGAATTGCTATTATATCCTTTTTCTTATATAAAAATACTTCATATAATTGAGCAAGTGTTTCGCTTTGACCAGATTTATTATTAGCATTACTTATCATATTTGTTATAATAAAATAATATATTTAATACAGAAAATATTGCGTAAACGTACAAATTTATTAACGAGTTGGGTTTAGTACATCATGTAAATAAAAGCAATAGCCTCGAATTACAAACTCTTGATGGATCATTTTCTATACTAGGAAAGGTTGAACTGCAAACTAGTTTTAATGTTGATGGGAAGCACAAAAGTATCGATCCCACTGAATTCTTGGTTCTTGGATCAGATTGGCCTGGGCCTGATTTAATGTTAGGAAAACCATGGTTGCAAAAAAATGGCGCAACGATTGATATGTGTAATAACCAACTTATCTTACATGATAATTTTGCAATTCCAATTTTCCAAAGCGGGTAATCGACATTCTACTAAAAATATCTATAATATATTTGCCCAATTACACTACGTAAAATACAGAGTATCTTAATCTAATGTCGTGTAATATTATGCGATCACTGGATCTTCTCTGTTTTACGAATAAATAAGAGGTATCTATTGTTGTTGTATAAAAACGATTAAGCTTGTTTTTTGACATCGAATGAGGGCCTGTGCGTCGTATGAGATATGCCAAAGTTTTCGATTCTACCTATCAGCATGAATCCATAAATAATTATGATTGATGCAGGTAATGGATCGCCCATAGTAGATAAATTTTTAATGAGCTGACTGTGTAATTCGAAAAAACCAATGATTATTGATAACTTTAATGGCGTGTATCCTTAACAAAATGATCATCCGCGCTGGAGAAACTCTGAAATGTGTATAAAAACGGCTCAAATTCGAATTCGCATAATTTTTTTACTTCATAACTATAACATTCGAATAAATACAATAAAAATTTGTTAAATCAATCAAACCACGTAAATAAAACATAGTAAATCAATTAAAAAAACCGTGTTGGCAGAGCTAGTTTCACTAAAAAATAAAATATTATTCTTACATTTATCAAATCAAAGGTTTGTTAAGACTCTTGTATCAGATTTAGAGATGTAGTATTCTTGTAACATCATTGAACTAACTGATTTTTCCATAGATGACACCAATCGAATTTTTCGAAGCTCTCTCAAAAATGCCATTAGAGAGTTATTTTATTTTAATCCCTATATTTATCCTCATCGTAACATTGATATTTGGAGAAAAACTATTTATATACCTATTCATTGTCATCATATGCTTCGTTTTCTATATATTCAAACAACAAATCGATATGGAATTCAAATTATTAAAAGAGAAACGAAAAAACGAATCTAATGATATTTATAATAAAATAGATGATCTTACCGAAAAAATTTCTTTGTTTTATGAAGAGTTCCAACAAAGATCCCAGGAAGAAGATACTTTAACTAATAATAATTCAAGTAATAATTCAAGTAATAATTCAAGCAATTTTTCAAGTAGTTCTCGAGGTAGGATCTTTAGTTATACTAAAGGCTTCGCTATTTCAATGTATAAATAAATATCTGTTACTTATAGTGAATTAATATTTTTGTATCGTATTAGGTTCAAGACGTACTTCGTTTTCAGATCCACTCTTTCAGGAATTTAAAACCCTTTTCGATGAGACCATGCGAGAAAATGATTATTCTAAAGCCGATATGATTGCCGAAGTTGTAAGTGATCTTAGAAAGGAGAAGAAAATAAAGGTTATATTGAACAAAGCGGTGGAAAGTTATTATAATCAAACAATGAAATCCGACGCCAGGACTATAGGAGCGATTAAATCTTGGATCGAGCTCAAGACTAAAGGAAAAAACAAATCTACATTTAACGATAATGTTAATGTTAATGAAGTTAGTGGCGATGATAGCGATGATGGAAAAAAATATAACAATAATAAATAGTTTTTTATCTGGTAGAGCCAAAGTATAGGGACGTATATTCATGGTCTAGGGGCCGTACGTTCTCTCCCTTGCAACTCTACCGTAAAAAATCAATATTATTTATTATTATCCATGTATCTTTATTTTATTTTGCTTGATTAAATCATTAAATAAAATGAATCATTTGAATTCTTATTTTTTAAAAACCATGTTGTATGACATACATAATAATAATGATTTAATATAATAGTTGTTTCCATATTTTCTGATTGTGAAGAAATTCAAATTTGATAGTCTATCCGCATAATCGATCAGATAATATGTCATTGTTACGTTAATGGGGGCTGTGCAACAAAAATTATTCAATGATTTTTAATTGGACAATGTTTATTGATTGTTATTATTAATTCCTTTTTGAAAAAATATTTTACATCTGTCTTGTTCAAGGATGTATTCGAGATCCCTTCATTCTAACAAAATATTTATAGCTATTCTTATATTAACAATGGGTTGTTTCAACAGTGATTCTTCTACCATGTATAAAGGTTCCTTCTCTTATAAAAATAATAACATTTTTGTTGTTAATATTGACGACAACAACGTCCAATACCAAGCAAGAGTCGAGAAGATAAATCAAAATGTTGCACGAATATACTTTGTAAACAACAACGGTATTGAAATTCCCATTCCAGCTTGCGTAAGTCTTAGGGACACTACCAATAACGAAGATGTAAATCCGTACGGTGAAGATTTCTTGATCGCTTGGACTTCCAACTATACATTTTTTCTGAATTCTGTCGAACTTTTTAGATTAGAAAATCAAAAACAGCAAGCTGTTATGGGCACACAAGATGTTACAACATTTGTGATTCAGCAATGATTTATTTTAATATGGTTTTAATTTCTTAAAAATTATCAATGTTTTATTGACTTATCTACTTTAATATGGTTTTAATTTCTTAAAAATTATCAATGTTTTATTGACTTATCTACTATATATATTTTAGCTAAATCAAAATAAAAGACACGTCATATTATTAATGTTTGGTGTTAGTAATGATAAATGAAATAATAATTGTTTAGATATTATATCAAACCATTATTTGTAAAGTTGAAGGAAAGAATTCCCGTTAAGCATATGTAATGTAAATTCCTATAACATTGTTAGCAAGAATCTAATCAATGCCCAATAAATTTTAAACCAAATTTCTAAATTGTATTAAAATGAGTGGACAAGGGTAAGTTTAATCAATAATTTTTCAATAATTTATTTTAAACTTATCCATTATAATAGTACAAATGCTGTTGGAGCTGTTAAACAAGCCGTTGTTGATCAACTACTTAGAAACCTTAATCCAAAATCTGTAGTAAAAGTAGTCCGACATCAAATAAATATATTTTTATATTCTAATATTTCCAAAAATTACATGTATTCATACAAAAAATAAGCCAATTAATCCTACTACATGTTGAGAATATCCGATTCGATGTTATTTACCTCTAAATATCTACATACCTCTCCATAATCAAATATCGCTTTCGTATCTTGTGTATTCCTATTTATGATTGTTATAAAATTTTCATCGATTACATGCATATACTTAACCAGATTTTTGAACTGCATATACTGCATAGGATTATCAGTAAACTTACCTAGAGTCTGTTATTCTTAGATTTTCGAGACATATTTGGTAAATCTATATTAATATCGATAAATGACTTCAATTTTTTCTTGACATATATAAATTCACTTTTATAGTTTCATGTGTCATTAAACCCGTTGCATTTTTAGTTTTACTAAAGGTTTCGCTAAAAGTAATTTTAATTCATAGTTAAAATCAGTCAATATGACCCGCTTTATTATTGATATATAAAAAATGTTACCAAAATAATAACATAAAAATAAAATAAAAAATCTTATCGCAGTTATATACTGCAGATGTAAAAATACATATCGTATTTACATGATGCAAATCATTTCTTTTTGAAAAAGGGGGTCAATGATGTTAATATCTTATCACCACTTTGCTCTTTCTGTTGATTTAACTTAAAAATTCTCCTACCATTGACAGATAACTCGTAGCTATTCATCCAAGTTATGAGATAGCTTTTTATATCCTCAATGAGTATAGCTGTAATTTTATTTTTAGTCGCTTCATTCATAAAAACTACATTTTCCAAATCATCAATTGGAATATCATTTTTATCTACAAGAAAAACCCTTGCGACATCTTCATTTAACACTTCAATCTTTACTCGGATCTTCTCATGATAAGTATCAAAGTCTTTTGTTTCTCCTTTCACATATAAAATTTTATTTTCAGACATTGTAACTTTTAAGAAAAAACAAAACTATTAATTAATACATGAAGTTGTAACTATATTTCTGACTCAAAAATTTATTCATAATATGTACCTTAAAAAAATTTGATAAGATAAGAAATGAAGCCTCACAAATCCGATTTATTTATATTGTTAATTTGCTTAACCTGGAACCTGCTAGAAAAGAGATTAACATAATGAGATGATAATAAAATGCTTTTCACCTGCAATTAACGGAATCTCTGCCCCATAAAGTAGTTCTATTAAAATCACAAGCGCAAAGAGAAAATTATATTTCACCTTTTATGGGAAATTAAACCTTTCATTCTGCCGATCGCTTTTGTAGAATGAAAAATAAGTCAAATTTTGGCGATCTTTGGAGATTGTAAAGATCTCAAGTTCCATAATGTATGAAATTTGATATTATTACTGATAAGAACAATAAACCTTCCATTCTTTTATCCTTTTCAAGTTTCATTAGCATTTCTTCTTATCGGAGAAACCATACACAATAAGAAAAGGCTTTATTATTAATATTATATGTAACGATAGAAAATAATTTTTAGCGGAATTACAAAAAAAAATCATTGTGAGACAAATAGATATTATTATATGTTCTGGATAAAAATCGCTATTTTTCATATATCAAATATTAATATGTTTACGTTTGTGTTTTCATGTGCAATCGAGCTAATTTGGCTATTATTAGAAGTTCATAGAACGTGTAAGAGGTCAGTTGATATATTTGTGCGATCATATGCAGGTATATCAAAATTGGATTAACTACACATGGTTTAGATTCTTGTTAAAAATCATGCGTATTAATGTGTATATATATATATTTCGATTTTTCCCATATTAATATATCAGTATTACTATAGATTATCTCTGCTTTATTAAAAATGAATCATGTATTCTTAGACTATAGGTTAATAAAAATCACATATAAACCATTAAACTTATTATAATTGCTAAATATGTCTGGTTTAGATATCACTATTATTCTCGGTAACAAACAAAGACAACTACCCAAACCGTTTAATAACCGTCCTGGATATGATATGAAGTATGTTATGATATATCTCAACTATTATCATCCTATTTATTATGGTGAAAATCTTGAGAAACTCTTTGATACTGAAAAAAAATATGACAACTTGTCTATAGTAAAACGAGACGAAAAACTTATTCAATGGGCAGTACGAGTTAGAATCGATCTTCAAGATTTATTAAGCGAGAATAAACTTGGTATGTATCATAGATATTGCTTATTTGCTTCTTATCCTGGAGGTAGACTTGTAGGTTATGATGATTACCAAAATTACTAAAGACCAAAACCGCTTAAGAATGGGACTGCTATCTGTTTCGGGTGTTGGAAGGTATTTCGTGCTGATGTGGATATAAAGCCTAAAAAAACGTTTGACCATGCTTATAAAAGATTTGCGGAAATGGTTGAACCTAAAGACCTGATGCAGGATCATTGGGATAACTACTGTTCTAGACCTAAAACCGATTTTGGGCGTGCAAGGATTATTCAAAGAGCTTGGAGACGATTTCAAGAGAAAGAGCCATCGAATGCACGGCTTGCATGGAATAGCTTACCGAATGATAATACTCCAGATGATAAGAAATTTTTAGGTTTAACTCAACATAAAATAAAAAATCCTCAGACTCGAGAACAATTTGATCAGTGGCGTACGAAATCGATTGCAATGTATAAACAATGTAATTTAAATATTCCTTTGGATATTTATGTAAGAGAATATGAAGAATATTATATTCCATATAATTGGATAGATTCTAAAAAGAGTCAATTGCAGTCTAGATTCCAAAAGCGACTTTTAGAAATAGAAGCGTAAATATATTAATTATTATACACATCTATTTATTCGATTTGTTTGATTTAATAATTATATAACTTATATCTATTTAAAATAAACTTTATTTCGTTATCTTTCCTAAAGAAAAAGCTGGTAACGATTTTTTACTTTGATTTTTTACATATCAACCTATTTCCATTCGACACAAAAATCCCCATATTAGAAATAATGATTGAATACACGGAGGAGTGCATCTCTACTGAGTGGCGAGTAAAACATATACTATATTCTATATAAAAAAATTCCTGTAAAAAATCGGATCAATCAAATAAAAATGTATTCGTATAATCCCGGTTTTTATTTTTTTTCTTTGCTTTCCATATAGATTTAACCCATACAACAATAATAATAAACAAAACAAGCAATAGCCATACCGTTTTTGGTAAACCTAAGACGCTTGTCATAGCAGGAATTGCTTCTGTTCCTCCCACTGAAAGCCCGGAATTCGATTTATCCAAAGAGGAATTGTGAATATTTCCACTGGGAACGTCTATCTTTTTTGCAACTTGCGGAGTTACATTTCCTTCAGGATTCATATTCCTCATTGGCTCGATATTTTGTAATGTATCATCTTTACATGAAGAATCGGTATCATCTATTAAATTGAATCGTTCTGAGTTTACTTCTGGCATTTTAGTCGTGTTAGCTTTGCTATTTTTTTCTAGAATATCTTTACGTAAATATTTACGAAGACTTTTTTCTAGAGCAGGATATTCTGTATCTAAACTAGATTTATTATCAACTGGAATATTAGATACTTTAGAAACGTTTTCTTGAGGCTCATACCCCCCAGCAATTGATTTATCTGATTTTAATCGTTCCACCTCACCGATTTTTAAATATAATTCATCTTTTGTTTGTACCAATTCATCTTTTGTTTGCACCAATTCATCTTTTGTTTGATCTAATTCAGCTAATTTAGATTTGAGAGACAAAAACTCGGATTTTATCAGAGATGAATCATTCTGGGCTGAAAATAATTCCTCTTTCAATAACCTTATTCTAGATTGGAGATAATTCGCCTCTTCTATTTTTTTTTGGGATAAATCTAACTTACCGTTCAGTGACTTTATTCTCCCCTGAAGCAATATTATTTCATTCGTCTTTGCAATAATTTCGGCTTTAGAATCCGCAAGATAACGATCCTTCTGAGTATTCCTAGAAATTAGATTAGTATTTTCACTTCGTAATTGCTTAGCGATATTGGTAACTTCCAAAGTTTGAGTATGTAAGTTCTGGAGTTTATTATTATTTTGTGTTAATTCACGATTTAAATCTTTTCTTTCTAGAGACCAAGCCTTTCTTTCCTGTTTGAAACTTTTCTCTTGATCGGAATATTTATCCAGCAATTTTTTGTTACATTCCTTAATCTCAGCCTTGGATTTAAGAGTATGATATAATTTTTCTTCAAGTTCTTCTTCACGTACACTTCCAAGCCGATATCCTTTTTGTAATGTATCGGATTTAGTATTTTGTAATGTATGTACATTGTTCATCTATGTTTAGCAAAAAAAAATATCTTTCACTGAAAATGTTCTGACTAATACCTCTCAATCAATATTAGTTACAATGGTTTTACCAATAGATATTAGTATTATTAGCAATACGTATTGATAGATATTGTTATTTGAGAAAATCAGTACATATCAATAGATATTAATATTTAGTAAATCGATACGTACCAATAAACATCAATAGGTATTGAGATTGCATCAATACATATCAATAGATATCAATACATATCAATAAGTTTTGAAAAAATATCGATAGACATCAATACGTATCAATAAGTTTTGAAAAAATATCGATAGACATCAATACGTATCAATATTTTTTTTTTCTAGTTAAATATATCAAATTCCAAAAAAAAAAAATGATAACCAACATCCATCAAAAATTTTACCGGTCTAATGCAACCAAATTATCAGAAGCTGATATTAATGAGATTAGGGAATCGAGAGGAAAAATACCAAATGCATCAGGTAGAATGTCGAAAAAATTCCATATTGGCGCCCATCGTGTATATGAAATATGGGAGCATAATGAACGACTCCAACAAAGTCTCGATAATTGGAATGATTTACCGCCAAATTCAGATGAAGATAATAATAGTTGACAAATATCTGATTCATTACAAACCAAGGAAATTCCAATTATAGCAACAACAATAAAAAATAAAAAAGAATCCAAAGGAAATAAATCTAAAACTATGGATACACTCGTTATTGCTGGTAATTCATCAGTTAAGTTGGCACGGTCCTCACAAAGTGAATCAAAAAAAATAAGCCGGGAGGAATTAGATGCATACTACAAGAAAGAAAACGAAGACGATAAAAAACATAAAGCAGATATGGATCGTTTACTTTCTAATTAATCCATCTTCATTTATACCATTGTCAAGTAGATCAGGTAAAAACTCAGCATTTCGTATATTCTCATAGCATAATTGCAATTTCTCAGCAGACTTTTTAATTTCCGCTTTTGACTTGATAGTGTTATGCAACTTTGTTTCTAGATCTTCACACCTTTTGCAATTTACGCAATTTTTTTTTTTAGTGTATCTAAATCCACTAATTTTTCAGATGTTTCCTCATTGGATTTTTCTTGAACCGTATACTGGTTTGATATCCCATATTCACCTTGTGAAATTTGATCTGGAATTGAGGCATCACTATTCTGTATTGTAGTTACGCAATTTACTTCAATCTTATTTTTGACCTTATGCATAGTGATTGGGATTAAGAAATCTTTGCCATCACATGTAACTTTTAACTTGCGCTTAGATGCAATTAAATCATAATTATATTTATCTAGAAGAGGATTACTAAATGCCAATAGAAACTTAGGATACTCAACAATAACAAATTTTTCGCGTAAGCTACAACCAGGTATCAGGTTTATAGAAACCTCAGAAGTAGTTCCAATTGATGTAGTTGGTACTGTGGCGGCCCCACTGAGATCATGTCTTTTATCTGTATTAATTTTCAATCCTAATCGCTTAGCTAAGTGTGAGACATGATAGAACATTCTGCGCCTGAATCAACAATGGCCGCCGGAATCTTTAAACGTTTAATTTTACATTGAATAGTTGCGACACTTGTAGCTGGCTCTTTTTTCTGAACAAAATCTATTTCCATAGGATCGTCTAATGTTTCCTCTTCTCCATCCTCACTATGTATTTCTGGAATCGGTTCTCGATAATTTGTGAAATCTAGTTGAGTCGGAGACTTGAAGCTCTGAATAGGCGCAACTATATTAGATGAATTTTCAATTTTCGCTTTAAGTTTGTCCATCAAATCTACAGGTAAGATACCGTCAAACATATCTAATATAATTTTTTGAAGTGTTTTATCAATAAGACTTGGTTTTGCCGTTCGTTCTTTATCGGAAGAAGTAGTTATCCGTGTTAATTTACCACTCTGTTTTGTTTTACGAGTTTTGGACTTCTTTCCAGACGACGATTTATTAGAATTGTTCTTTTGATTTACTTTTTTTTTTCTTTGGTTTTCGCTTTGGTAATGTTAACGTTCAAACTTTCAACTTCAGATGAAGAATCACCAGAACTAGAACTAGATTCAAAACCATTATCAGAAGAGTTAGTATCAGAATCCGAATCTGAATCTGAGCTAGAATTTATATGAGCAACGTTAACGTTAGCTTTTCTCTTAAATTTGTTTTTCTTCTTCCGAGGACAGTTGCGGGAATTATGCCCGGTTCTATTACAATTGGAACATCTATGAGATAATTTGTTAGAAGCGCGAATACCTGTTTTCACTCCCTGTGCAATTCCTTTTGATATAGCCTTATTTATCGATAACTTACTCATACGTTTGTCCAATTCATCATCAGATTCAGATTCAGCATTCTTTGAACTATTTCCGTTCTTTTTTATTTGCGGTTTTGGAGGTAAAGAAGGAGCTGAAACAGGAATAAATTCTGGAATTTCTCCATATATCCATTGTAAAAAACTTTCCATATTTCTATCTTGTATATTTTTATACGTTCCAGGAGGTTGTGGTCGGAATTGAGAAGAGGCCGATTGTATAACTGGTTCTTGGGATTGTATTTGTGTTTGCTGGGGTTGTACTTGTTGGGGTCGTATTTGTGTTTGCTGGAGTGGTGTAGAAGGAATCATAGATTTTATTAGGTTTTCGAGTTCAGTTTGAGATTGAGCAGTAATTGGATGGGAGTCAATATTATATCCACCTAGCATTAATTCAGCTCTTCTTCTTTCGATTTCCGTTAATTTTTGTAGCAAAGTGGAAATTGGATGTTCAAGACCAATACGAGATATTTCCATTTTGTTTTCATTTGAGATCCCCTTGAATAATTGCTGTCTAAGAAGTTCATCTTGGTTTGCATCTGCCAATGCCGGATATGCTTGTTTAATCAATCTTTTTAATTTTGAGTAATAACAATTTACTGGTTCATTACCTTGGGTCAAAGAATGGAACATTACTTGCGACTTTTCTGCAGTAATAGTGGGATATTCATGTGTAAAATAAGCTATCATTTGACCAATTCGAATAACTGAAGCTACAATATTAGCGTCATTTCCAGCATTAGGAGCGTTGGGAGGTAGGTCTGTAGGCCGTCCACCTGATGTTAACCAATCTTCATCCCACACAGTATGGCCTGGAACTAATGGTACTGCAGGTAAATTACCATCATTTGGAGCGGTATCTCGGATAGTACGAGCTCGACCTCTAAATCTATTAGCATTAATAGCACGAATTGCATTGTTAGCTAATGCATTAATAGCATGGAGATTTGCTACTCCAATGTTTGCTGTAATGTGTTGTAACTCCCAATTTTTACCTTTGACGTTACTTTCATATCAATCTTTTGCATCACCTCCAAAACAATTTTCAATAATCCCTTCAATTCTTATTCGTACATTGTGTCCGCCATTTGGATCAATATTTCCACATTCACACCATCGACGAAGGTCTTTAATAAATACTTCTGGGTCTTCACCGGGCAATCCGTTAAATTTTGGTAATGGGTATCCTGCCATTCCTATGTGTTGGTTATTTATAGGTAAGTTATTCTGGTAATTAAAAATTTCTTGATTTAAAATATTTATTATTCGGTTCTGATCGTTGATATCATCCTCAGCTATTTCGAGTTCATTCATAATGCGATCCCAATTAAATTCCAATAAGCCTCTTTCATTACGGCATTCTAGTAAATCTTGTTCAGCTTTGCGTCGTAATCTAATATTCT